AGCTTGCGGAATACCGCGCCGCCGTACTTGCGCGACACTGTCGTATACATAATATATTTTACAGCGCCCGTTCACCTTTGACTAAAGTATCGCACAACTGTTTTATCGCACTATGATTCCTATGAGCGTTATATGGAGCGCACACTGATTTTAGTTGTGCAAGTAAATAATGCTGCGAAACAATCGACAATCGCACAACAGGTTTACGATAGTTTAGTCAAAGGTGTGCGCCCGCTCTAATAACTTGTACATTAAATTATACCTCACACGCTAGACAATTTCTTATCAATATATTTTTTTTTAGATTCACTGAATGTCTCAAAGAGACAGTGTACTCGGGGAAAGGTTTGTCAAACTTTGTTAACTGGCTTTAAACCTAACTTACTTTCTATGTTACTGTATAAATAAATACATATTTCCGATGTGTTTTAAGTGCTCCAAATTTTACCTGTCTTTAACCAAACCTGTACAAATATCTGTAGCGTTTGAACACGACAATCTTAAAAATACTTATTGAGTAAAGTTATAGGGTATCTAACTTCACGCTTTAGTTTACAGGAGCAGTCTACAGCAGTGTTTTTAAAATAATACTAACGAAGGATTTAACTTACAGTTTTGTTTGTCTTCCTCTCCTTTTGCCATGAGTCTATCTATCTGCGCTACATACAACTGCATCACTTCCTTCCAATACCTAACAAAGTTAACCATTATATACATTTATTATGACAAGTGAAAAAAATACATTTAAAACGATTTAACAGGTTTTAGCTTGGACTTAAGGGTATCTAATTGTTAAGTTTTAAATTTAATTATGATGTTGAGTGTTATTGTAAATTCTATACTATGTTTCGCAGAGTGATCTCTTAAATTGAAATTTAAAAATAATTGAATAATTAAATGGATATTGAGTATTATATTAACACATTTCAACAATTAATATAATTTATTGTCTATGGATTTCAATGTTTTGCAAACATTTTAATGTTCCAAAATAAATTGATGATTGATATATTTTTTTATAATTTATAACATGGAGGTTTTTTAAGTGATGACCAATAGTGAATCTATTTATGTGCATAGTATGGTTTTGTAAAAAATGAAAAATAAATGTAAAAAATACAATAAACGTACTTGAATTTTAAAGGCAATGTTTATGCATTGCATATGCAAGAAAACAAACTGATTTAAAAATGGATTAAAAAACCGCCATTTAATGTTGGTCCCCTAGACCTAGCGTATATCATCGGCTGGCATATAGATAAACTAGCATTTGCCAGCGACTCCGTCCGTGTGGAATTCAAAAAAAAGAAAACAGGTATCCTATGTGTTCTTCCAGATCATGATCTACATGTATGCCAAATTTCATACAGATCCTGTTTAGACTACAAACTCTAACAAACATCCATCCATCGAAACTTTCGCATTTATAACATTAGTATGAAATATGACATATTACAATTTGTCATTTCTATTCACTCTACATATTTGTTCTTACGGTGAAGGAAAACATCGTGATGCGACATGCACATATCTGTGAAGAAAATTGAAGACATGTGTGAAATCACCTGCAGTGGGCCAGCGTGGTTGAGAGGCTTGGTGACCCCTAACTTGGGGAAGGCCCCTCAGTGGGGACCTACAGGATATTAGTTCAGATAAGGCTTACTTGTGTGAGACGCAGGGCGTGAGGCTGAGCAGGTAGGGGCAGAGCAGGTCGCGGCGCGCGGCGAGCTGCACGGCGCACTGCACGCGGCCGCGCACCACGCACAGCAGCACGCACGACTCCACGTTGCCACACGACAGATGGTACTCCGCTTAAACAATACTAATATTGTAAACTTGCTGTTACTCGAGATTTCCCCCGCGTGGAATTAAAAAAAAGCAAGTAGCCCATGTGTTCTTGTAGATTATATTCTACATCAGTGATTTTTTTTGTTGCGACACATATTTAACGATTTCAAAATTTGTCGGCACACAAAGAAAAAAATTAAAATTATTTACTTACTGCAATACACTTCAGAAATAGTTTATGAGAAAAATATGCAAAAACTGGCGACACACAAAAGTGAAGCGACACATTGGTTAAGAATCACTGTTCTACATCTATACTAAATTTCATCCAGATCTGTTCAGCTGTTAAGGCTACAAACTCTAATAAACATCCATGTAAACTTTCGCATTTAATATTAGTATGATAGCTTATGTTACGGTGAATAACTAAGGCTATGCTTTTATTATTTTTTCAATTTCCCAACTGTCCTCTACAATATACATAAAACGAATTAAGCATTCTATCTTCTAAAAACGAAAATAGCTACAACCCGACCGGGAATATAAAATCCCCTATTGCGAAAAAATACGCAACTAAATTATCTCTACTTAAGGGTAAATTGTTTTACCAAAAATAGTATAAAAGTACTTACATTCCAAATCCAATACTTCATTAACATCATTTGTGCTGCCGAATATTTTAATAAAATCTATATCAAATTCTTTATTATTATATCTTTCTTTGTCTAACTCAGCATTCTCTGGCGAATTAACCTTACTTTCTAAATATTCAGATTTTTCTTTATTCAATGTGTCAATATTAATTTCAATTTTATTTTCAACCTCTGAATTCTTTTTTATATAATTTTCTAACATTTTCTTAGCGCCCGCTAAAAGAGACTTGCCCATTTGTTTTTGCATAATTGGTAAAAGGAATTTCTTTGATGTCTTTACTTTATCTTCCTGAGCCACAGCGAGACTATCGTTTATTTCATTTTTTATATCCTCCGCTTTCTTTGTTTCTTGCTTGTGTTTCTTTTTATCTTTTTTCGTAACACCAACTTCTTCTTCTGAAAGACGCAAATTTACAATAGATAAGTGTTATTTATAGTATTTTTGACCGACTTCCCAAAAGGAGGTACTCAATTTGTCTGCATGTTTTTTTGTGTGTTACGGCATAACTCCGCCGCTACTGGATCAATTTTAATACCCTCACTAAAATACTTTTTGAATATATATTCAATTGATTTACTTTATTTTTATCCATTTTTTTGTACTTTTTAATATGTTACAATCATTTTAGAATTAACAATGCTTGGAGATTTATTTATTTATTTATTACTTGTGCACAATTATAGTAAAGTAAGTAATAAATATATTATGCTAACTTTAGCCAGCGACTGCGACCGCGTATAATTAAAACAACAAGAACTCAAGTAAGTTGGCATGTTCTTCTAGACTATCCTTTACAACTATACCAAGTTTCATCTAAATCCGCTTAGCTGTTTAGGCTACAAACTCTAACAAACATCCATCCATCCATCCACCTAAACTTTGCTATCTATACTATTGCTGTAAATCATTTTTGAAACAGGCCATTGCCTGTTTTAAAAAAAATCACCATTAATTAGCTTATCAGTAAGTAACATAGGCTATTTTTTATTTAAATTCTCGTTAATTTTACGCGAACGAAGTCGCAAGCAGCAGCTAGTAGTTAATAATTAGCGATGAACCTTGGTATTTATCAGGAGGGTAGTCCGTGTACGTCCAGAGTCGCAGCGCGCAGTCCGCGCCGCCGGAGAGCAGGCGCGCGGGCGGCTGCGGGCGCGCGCTCCACGCCGCGCACACCGCGTACTGCGCGTGCGCCCGGCTCACGCACACGCACGCGCCCGCACACACATCCCACACCTACATTCATAATAATCATATTATAAAGAAGACACTTTTTTTCCCTTCTATATTACAGTTGTATTTATTACAGACTAGCTTTCGCCCGCGACTCCGTTCGCGTGGAATAAAAAAAGGTATGTGTTCTTCCAGACTATCCTCTGCATCCATACCAAATTTCATCGAAATCCGTTCAGCCGTTTAGGCTACAAACTTCATTAAACATCCATCCATCCATCCATCTAAATTTACGCATTTATAATATTAATATGATTATTAATGTCAGTCTATTATTCGTATTAATGTTACCCAAAGTTTAACACAAGTTAATTTATTTTAAATTCGTATATCCTATAAACATGTGGTACATTGTGGTACATTGTGGTACATTGTGGTACATTGTCTGTAACAAGACAGAGTAATAATTACCCGTATGGTGCAGTCCTGCGAGGTGGAAGCCAGCAGCTGGTCTCGGTGCGGGCTCCAAGCCAGCTGCAGCACGGAGTTCTTGTGGCCAGTCAGCACTCGCCACACCTGCAACTGCTTACTACCGTCTGAAAACATACCAAAATCGCAATTCAACTACAAAACAAACATTTACTTTTTTTTCTAAACTATTGGATTGCTTTTAATCTTGTAAATAATTGCGACCATATGGCAGTGATTGTGCATCAAACAAAAAAAAGAATCACAAAGATTGGGTCATTAATTGCAACATCGATGTACGTACAAAAGAAAATCTATAAAATTGAGAACCTTTAAGTCGATTAAAAAGTAACGCACGGAAAATATTAAAAAAAAAAACAAAACATTTACTACAATTTCATAATTAAAGAAAAAATTAAACAATTTATACAAAATAGTTTACATATTTGTAATTGAATAAATCTCTTTAAAAAAGGTGTATTTTTCTTGTAAATACCTTCTTTATCTCCATATTCAAGGATAGAGATACTGTGCAGTTTGTCGAGAGACGAGACAGCGATGAGATTTTTGTATGGAGATTCCTCATTCCCTTCAGTTGTATGTTCCGGATGCCACTCCACGTTGTATATCGATTTACTGGAAAATTAATACATAACATTAACATAAGAATTTATATTTAACTAGAGATTTGTTACCATAATTTACTATTGGAAAAAAAAATCATTAATAATTGAAAAAAAAAAAACAAAAAGTAATTTAGATAAATAGCTAAACATTATCCTTTCAATTTCGATACAAAAAAATAATTACAAGAAACAAAATACTGTGTTCATTTAATTTAATTAAATGGCAATCAGTGATATACAAAATATTATAAAAACATCCGTTAAATAAAAAACCGGGTATAATATAAAGCGCGGTTCACACTTGAATAGTACAGTTAGACAGTCGCGAACGCATGGATTGTATCTACTGGCACCAGTTAAGTTTCCCGATAAGCCAGGTGAAGACCATTCCAGTTATTGAAACCTGATCAACTGTAATACATGTTAACCGGGCACAGTTATACCCAGTCCAGTTATTAAGCATTACTGGCCAACTGTGAACAACTATGAACGAGGTATAATTATAATAAACTTGTATTAATAAGATATCAGCTATCTCACGTGTATAGGTAGTTAACAGCCAGTGCGGTGCAGTGCGGGGCGGCTGTAGTGACGGCCACCGCGCCCTCAGCTGCCCACCGCCAGCAGCGCGCCGCGCGCGCGCACGCAGCTCACCGCCCACTGCACGCCCTCCACACACACCTTTACACTCACCGGCGCTGAAATAAATACCAAAACATATTAAAACTTTGAACCGCAAACTGTCAACAAATTTCGAATCAATGACGGCTTACGGTCGCCATTTAAAAAATAAAATAAAATAAAACGCTATTTATTGACCAAAAAAATTTAAAAGAACACAACTTACAAATCATGTTATTGAAAAAAAAAATAAAGATAAAAATTCTTGACCAAAAGGAGATGGCTCAGCTGATGCGGCCTCCAGCTTGTCACTGAAGGCTGCGATAGTCAGCCTAAATCGGATTGTCAATTCTTATAATAATAATTTTAATTTTAAAATATATACTAGTACGAATAGCCTTAAAAAAAGAGACGATTTAGCCTGTTTATAGATTTATTTTATTATTACAGTTACTACGTGGTAAAGTTGTGAATGGCGCGTACACTCAAAATTTGAATATTCTGAATTTTATTGTGTCATTTTTTTCTTGTGCTTTTACCCCAATAAATAAAAAAAACTAGCTTTCACACGCGACTCCGTCCGCGTGAGAGTAAAAAAACAAAAGTGAGCATATGTGTTCTTCCAGACTATCTTCTACATCTATGCCAAATTTCATCAATATCCATTCAGCTGTTTAGGCTACAAACTCTAACAAACATCAATCCAATTACAATATTAGGTAAGTATGATAGTATGATAACAGGACAATAGTAATATTTACTTACGTTGATCAGGTTTACTAGTGTTATATAGGACCAGCTCCCCGTTGGCAGCGGCCAGCAGCTGGTCGCGCTCGGCCCAGCACAGCGAGTACACGCCGCCGCTCAGCGCCGGCTGCAGCGCGCGCGCGGGACGGTCCGTCCTACCATTCGCATCGATTAAACCCACCTGGTAAATAACAGTGAAATTAAAAAAAAAGCAAGAGAAATGTACACTATACTAAGTTATACGCCAATGAAGAATTTAGAAATTACTAGTTAAAAGTTACACTATATTTTACCCTTTATCAGTCTGAATAAGGAAATATTTTTTTTTAATAAAAATAAAAGAATGTTTCTCACTGCAGAATTAAAAAAAAAGAGTTTGTAAAAAATCTACTGACATTAATATGACGTTAAAATTGAAAGCGTGTTAATTTAGTAAAGATAAAAACGAAGTTCTTCAAGTATTAGATACCCTAGCTTCAGCAGTTCCAAAGGCCAATAGATTCTCCTTAGTAGGATGCCAGGCCACTGTTAGCACTTTTCCCTGAACATTCTGCCAGTACGTGGCGACGCCGCCCATTGACAGCTTCGTTTCTTCCTCTGCCACATCCAGCTCTATCACTCTGACAGCGCCGTCTCCGGAGCTCACTGCCACTCTGTATGTGTTTGTAATTTTCCACTTTCAATACATTCATTTATATTGTTAAGAAATCGGCACAACACTAGGTCATTGACATGCATGTCCCATCCCTACAACATCTGTCAATGTCATTCAGAAGTATTGGGAATAGCGCGCCGTTCAGGCTTGATTAGAGTATTGAAGTTATTATGTTGTCAGAATGATATTAATGTCTAAAAATATGGACATCTCTCTCATTCTCTTTAAAAAAAGATAACTAAATGTTTTTTCCATAGATGTTACAGATATTGAACTGGAAATTATCACATTACAGTTAAATTCTTGTACAGTAAAGAACTTTAACATATTTAATATGAGAAGCCTTGGGAATCACAAAGAAATATCAAAATATAATTTTGACATTTCTTACTATTAGAATTCCCCACAAGTTCGAATGGCAAAATTAAACAAAAACTTCATATTTAGGACATAAATAAACTCTTACTTTCTCACATCATAAGGACATGACTGCACATTGTACAGGAAACCTCCACAGGTTGCATGAGTGTATACAACCTCCTTGGCACCGAGGGAATATCTGATGACATTACGATCCTGAGCAGTTGTCCACACACTCCACTTCTCTGATTCCTCAGTGCACTCGGGTGTTTGAACCCGTGGTGCATCAGACACAATAGAAAATAACCCACGTCTATGTTGTGAATGGACTAATTTGTATAAAAATTTATTTTTCCTGCAAAAGTGAACTATTTGTAAATACAAAAACAGTTTACGGAATTTAGAGACATTTTGTTTAAGAAGTTCATGCATTTTTATTAATTACAAGTTGAGCAATTTGATTAAAGACCACTTAACTTAAAGTACATATATAAAAATGTTTATTACCCATCCATTTCCAATGGATTACACTGTAATAATTGACTCCTGCCATCAGCAATTAACAACATGTCAGGCTTGCACCACAACAATGTAGTGCATTGATGTATTTTTATATTCTTCTGGTTCTTATTAGTAGAGATAGGAGCAATACAACTACTTATTAACTTCCCACTGTTGGCCCAAATTCTCACACATCTGGAAAAAAATACCTTATAATTTAAATAAGATAACAATGATTACATTTTTGTGACCTGTGCATTAAATAGCTGAATACATTTTAATGGAATAATAGTAATGCTAAGGTCACTAGCAAAAGACTGGACAGCTAATAACATGAAAAGGGTCAGATTGTTAAAATATTTTAATTTTCTAAGGGATAGGGGAGGTAGATCCCCTCCTCTCCCTAATAACATTTACCCAATTAGGTTTACAAGTTAAAATTCTTACTTAAACTTGCTTTATGAAGTAAAATTAACTACTTTTTACAATCTAAAATAACAATATGTCACTCACCCATTTTTTCCTAAGCTGGAAACAAGATGTTTGTGTGGATGAAGAACTGTTTCAGTAGACTCAAATTCCTTTCCATTATCACTGTTAGTATCACCAGAACTATCTGCTTCTTTATCAACGGCCACATTTTCTAAAGCATCGACCAGACTTTCTATACTAGCTTCAGGTTGATTCTTTCTTTTTAAAATTTCCTCAGTTAACTTCTTACATTCATCTAAATAACTAACTTCTGTCTTTACTTCTTCTTTTATCTTGACTAGTATATCTTCTGGTTCATATTTTTTAGGTCCGAAAGCATCTGTCTCATAATCTTTGTACATATCAAACAGGTCATCCTCCTGAACAATTGATTCATCAAAACTATCTTCGGGCAATGTCTTAGATACACCAGAATTATTCATATTTCGTTCAGAAGTTTCAGCTTCTTGTCTTATTTTATGCATTCTTTCATTAGCACTTACTTTCTTGTCAATATCAAGTGTTTGTTTTACACAAACTTCAAACTGTGGACACCAACTTACACTGACAATTTCATCATCTTGCCCTCGAACTTTGTACAGTACCTTCCCTGGACCTGTAAATAGCATATTCATATTTACTATTTGAAAATGTAGCCTACATTCAAAGTTTCATTTTTGATTAATAATAATTGAATGAACTTTGAAACATCATGTGGTGTTCATTTATTGTTACTCATACTAATATTATAAGTTTTATTTTTTAATACAAGTCATGTAAAATATATTATAGAAAAAATAAGAAATAAAGATATATGAGAACATTATAAATACAAAAGTTTAGATAAATGGATGGATTTGTTAGAGTTTGTAGTAGAGTTTGTTTGTTTGTGTAGCTTAAACAGATCTCAATGAAATTTGGTATAGATGTAGAGGATAGTCTGGAAGAACACATAGCCTGCTTACTTTTTTTTTAATTACATGCGGACGGAGTTGCGGGCATAAGCTAGTGGGTCTCTAACATGACTGTTAATTTTTAGTTAGCTAGAGTTAAAAACATCAATATACACAGATTAATATAAAGCTATATCACATTTTTTTTTAAATCTCAGTACAATTATACAATTTGTAGAATAAAGTAGTAATTACCAGTTAAATCCACCACAAAAATAACTCCTTGCTTTGTGCCAATGGCCACATTCAAAGGAACATGGGGAGAACAAGACATACTTGATGGTCGGAAGATTTTCAGGAAATTACGATAGGTTTTAATCACATTAGAGTTAAGATCCCATTTGACAACATGTCCTAATGACCCGACAGTTACTGCATATGTTTCATTACTGTATCCCACACCTACCACTTCCTGAAAAGATAACAAATTCAAAATAATCACTATTCTTACTGATAATCATTTTAAAAGGTAGCAATTCTATGATAAGCACCTCTTTTTCATTACTGTGCACAGAATGACTGTGGGTAGTTCTTAGTTTATATTTGTTATCTGCTTGTTCTAAAACCCAACATTTCACACAGCCATCAGCACTACCGCTTATAAATGCTCTTTTTTCGGGCCATTCTGGAGATATATCCACACTGACGACTCTGTAAAAAAACATATCATGTTAATGTGAAGAAGGTGTGCATTTGCAATGTTGGAAAGGAAGTAGTATTACTTTTCGAGGTGGGCTTTATGTAAAATATGAGCCCTATAAACATCTCCTTTAACGATGCTTACTGAATCTGGAATCGGTTCTAATACACACAAAGACTTCTGCGGACCACCATAAACGAACCAACGGTCTTTGCTTAAAGTCAACACTGTGTTTTGAAACCAGTTGGGAGATGGAAATAATACGGTTTCTTCCATGTTTATGTAAAAATACCAAAGGAACAACTATTAAATCGCAGGTAAATTAAATACCGGCCGGTAAGACTTTGAAAGTTAGATTTGGAAACGTCAGTTTTTGACATTCGAAGAAATGTAAAAAATGTGCCAAAATGTGTAGATAATATTATTACAAATTACAAAATGTATAGATTATGTTTATTGAATATAATTGATTGAAATTAAATAAAAATAAAAAATCTCTTGAAAATGCGAGTTTTTAACGTTCAACCTACACACAATTTTTTTTGCGATGAATTTCCGCGTATTAAAATTATAGGTTCATGCAACATAAGTAACTGACAAGTATTTACAATTCATCGCCGTAATATTTTAACGGTTTCAAAAGGAAAAACTTATAGATTTAAGTAATTAGTTTTAATTTATCCATTTACGTTACTAGATTTTGAAATATGACGTTTTCCACCACTGCATATATTTGGTACTTTTAATTTAAGTAGTCTGTTTTTGAATTCTATGTCTATGAAAGTTTTTTTTTTTACTGTGGACCAAGTTGGCTATGGTTCGTTGTCAATTCAATGCCATTTTGCCATTGAAAGTAAACAAGACTGCTGAAATTTTCTAGAATAATTCGGAATAGTAATTGTAATTTTTTTGAATTAAATCGTTACAAGTGGTAGTTGTGATTCCATGGTGATATAAGTGATTATTTAAGTTATAAAAGAATAACAAGTACAATCATGGCTCATTACAAAGGGGCTGCATCAGAAGCTGGCAGAGCCATGCATCTGATGAAAAAAAGAGAGAAAGCGCAGCAAGAGATAGAGCTTCGCAAGAAGAAGATAGAAGAAGACTTAAAAATTGATAATATTGAGAATAAGTTTGCAACACACTATGATGCAGTAGAGCAGCAATTAAAGAGTTCCACTATTGGTCTTGTTACTTTGGATGAGATGAAAGCTAAACAGGAACATATAGTTCGAGAAAGAGAAAAAAAACTGGCACAAAAGAAAGCAGAGAAAGAAAAGGAAAGACAAAAAGAAATTGAAGCCAAACAAGCTCAGAAAAATAAGCAAAAACGGCAGGTAAATATGAATGTTTATAGTGAATACAAACTGATAATTGTAAAGCTTGGTACTATGCTGTAGTTTATATTATTTTTCTTACTTTCTCTGCAACACTGTACAACATTAAATAGATTAATAAATTATTACTTAAGTCCCACTATCACCCACCAGTAACATAAAGCTTCTGTCTGAGTTTTAACTAATGTTTTTTCCACAGATACAAGCACTATCATTTGATTTAGATGAGGATGAAGATGAAGAGGAAGAGGAAGATGTCAAACCAGAAAAGGATTGGCGGGAACAAGAGGAAGTGGTATGATTTACAAATTAGAATGTAAAAAAATAATAATTTTTCTTACAAATAGTATAGGACATTTAAAATATTTATTCACATGAATTTTGTGAATTACTAAAGTATTTTCAAAACAGACAAGGTTTCAAAAAAACCCTGTTATAAAAAACCAACATTAAAATGTTAATTTCATCGTATTATTACTTTTACCCTGATTTTATTTTACTGTATGATCCTTTTTAGCAAATTTTACCATTCATGTTGGTAATGACTGCTTGAAAACACATACTTAATTTTTTTAAACATCTTGATAACAAAATGGAAACTTTAATTTTATTCCACTCAAAACATTTATCTTGCTTACAAATGTAAGCATGTAAATGTTCTACACTTGCACAAAAAAAGTGTTCTTATGTCATTTTACAGCCACTAAAAAAGATCCGCAAAAATCCCGATGTTGATACATCCTTCTTACCGGACAGAGAGAGGGAAGAAGCTGACCTGAAGTTACGAGAAGAGTTGAGATTGGAGTGGGTCATGACGCAGGCAAGTCTTAAAGATGAACCCATCACTGTTACCTTCAGCTACTGGGATGGATCTGGACATAGGAAGAATGTTACACTTAAGAAAGGTAACCATTAATATTTTTATTTAAAAAGAACAAGTCACCTCTGTGATCATTGAAGAGAAAACACAAAGTAAGGCAACTTAGCAACAGTCAAATTAGTATTTACCTTAGTAAACTTAGGGCCTGTCCTACTAAATTGTAAATTGTCTGATAACAATCCAATTTGCAAAAATATGTCATGGAAATATTAAATTTTGTTCCCTTATCAGACAGTGACATCATATTTAAGCTATCTGAGCCTATCAGCCAGTGGTGGGATAGACCCTTAGTATAAAATTAGTGGTATGTTTAGATCATATTTAACATCTCTACTAAAACTAGAAGATTGTAACTAATGTAATTCTAGTACTTTTCAGGCAATTCAATATACCAGTTTCTCCAAAGATGCCTTGACACATTGAGACCTGAATTCAGTGAATTAAAGACTGTTTCCGCTGATCAGTTGATGTATGTAAAGGAAGATCTTATTCTACCCCATCATTATACATTTTACGACTTCATAGTTACCAAGGTATGTTTAAGAAAATGTATTACTATAGTTTCCAAAGTGAAAATCATATTTGTTATCATTGACAGATTTTACATACTAGCATGTACTGACAGTTGCATGCCAGTTGGTGACCATAAATTTTGTTAAAAGTGTTTATTTAAGGATATTTTGATTAAAATAATTGTCTTAAATTTATGTTAAGTTTAAATTAAATTTTAAATTGGTGAAATCCAATATACAACAGTTGGTTACATACAAAATATTTACATTGTAAACATATAAAATGATTGTAATTTATCATTGCCATACTTTTCCAGGCCCGAGGCAAAAGTGGTCCTTTATTCCAGTTTGATGCATCAGATGATATTAGATTGGTAAATGACGCGACACAAGAAAAACAGGATTCTCACGCTGGAAAAGTTCTTTTGAGGTAAGTTCATGTATCTTTAAATATATGTTGTATTCTACCTTTAATTCATTTATAAGGAGAGAAATCATACATGATAGCAAGAGTTGGAGAGAAGTAAAAATAATAATAACTACACAAACATTTTATTTTCAATATTAACAAATATTTATTATTAAATTATTCCTTTAATAAGCTCTTATTGTTCTCTCATAAGCACATATGAGGCAACATTCATACCAAAAAACAGTAAAAGGAACATGAAATGCTAAGCAACTTAACACAAGTTATGTAATAGTTAAGTTGACCTCTGTGCTTCAAGTACAAGAAATTTATTGTGAATGAATTACTTAAACAAAAATTACTAACTATATATTTGATCATATCTTTATAATTTATCTTAACATTTTTGAAATAATCATGACCTACTTGAATATGTAGTTTATAACTTAACCTTGCAATTTTTTGCATACAATCCAATATACACTGTTTTAATATATTTTTTTAGGTCCTGGTATGAAAGGAACAAACACATATTCCCTGCATCGAGATGGGAACCATATGATCCAACAAAAACTTACTCTAAGTATACAATTAAAGGAAAATGATTGTCATTTAAAATATATGTTTAATAACTTTTATGAAGCAATCTGACCCTTAAGTTTATGTAAACTATGCAATAAATAGTCAATAAATATTTAAGTCACATTTGGTATTTTATGCAAATCTGTAATTCCCAACTAACTCTTACAATAAAATAAAGTTTTCATATATTTTAAAATTATTTACACTATAAATAAATGGAAATAATATTGCTTCATTACCAAATTTGTACAGAAATTAAACATTTGCAGGACTTATTGAATAGTTGGCAAGTTGTTTAAAAAATATTCAAATTTCGAAAAATATTTTTAAATCCTATTTTTATTAAACCTTATTACAAGTAATTTAACACACAACATAGCTTTCAAGTTCTCGCCACCATTTCTTTTCTAGCTTATCCAAGAACTTCTGTTTACTCTTTGTGTTTTCCACTTCTGGTGAGATAGGCGGAGCATGCCTTTGGAAATGAATGATGGCAGCTAAGAGATTCCAAATAGTGAACTCTGGCCAAAGAACATCAGTAAAGTACAACACTGTCCTGGAAACCTAACAACAAAAATCCCATAAGTAACTTAATTTTTGGTCATACTATAAGAACTCATATTGTTAATTAATTCTTAAAACAACTTAAAGACGATAATACCTTATTTTAAGAAAAAGGTCAATATGTAGTATGATGAACTACATGTAGAGTATTTACATGATGGTCCTAAGGAGCCAAGCTAAGTGTATCATTATTATAACTCACCTGTTATGTTTTTATTCTTTTTTTTTAAAGATTTCCTGACATATAATAAATGTACATAATTTATTACCTGCCATAACATAAAGTCGGACAATCTGACTTCACCAGATGTCCTCACCAACAGTTCAGCTTCACCTAAATCCAGAGTTTGTGATACAAGATTCTCATCAATATCTTCAGGTGACAAATCTTTGTTTTGAATGCCATCAATTATATGTGATGCACCTCGACTAATTTCATCTCGACCTACAGATATGTAATAGGAAAATGTAAGTCCAAACTAACTTTAAATTACATTGGGAAGGATATTCATAAAATGATATAAACACTATTCAATGGAGGTCTTCTATGAAATTAGTACTACCATAGATCATAATAAAATTTACTGTTGTACTATTAGCTTCCAGTTATTTCATTGTACATTATTTAAATAAATAAACAAACTTTTATTGAAATTACAATTTACAAATAAAGTTAATAAGTGCATGGGCTAATACAAAAGAGCTTCGACCAACATCTTAAGAAGCTCTCACTAGACAGTTGGATTAAGAGCCTGATTTAAAAGGTAGTTCTTTTAGAAACCGCATGCACTGTGAGGAGGTTCCTGTCTGAGTAGCTCTGACCACTGGTTGCTTGAGTCATGGGATTCCACAGCCGGTGGTGCTCTATTTTTTATATAACATGTTTTACATTCATTTTTATATTTATATAAATCACATAATATATTATGTAGTAAATAAGCAAATAAGGATATATGAAATAATAACAATTAAACATACCTGTATATGCATAAGCAATATTAAGCTGCAATATATTGTTGTTTTTTGTGGCTAGCATTGCTTTAGCAACAAGGGACTGTAAGTCCTCCGGTAGCATGGACAAGCGGCCAGCTACATGTATCCGAACACCCCATTCATTTATTAATTCACTGTAAATAAAAGCTTTTCAGTAGTTTGTAATTAGCGTACAGGGATGACTAAATCAAATAATTAACCATTTAACATCAACTCAATGTTCAAACTTGTATTGAAATTTTTTAGGATTCATGATATTTTTTTTTATTTCTAACTGGTATTGCTTGAAATTGTTATTGTAATTGATTATGTAAATGATGTAAATTACACAAATAGTTAACAAAAAACAAGCAGTCGATTCAGGGTATTAAAATATACTAACATTTCATCTAAAAGTCTTTTAAATTTATCCCGAGCCAAGTCCATAAGCGCTGCAACCTCCTCTTCACTTCTTTTAAAATTTTCTATACTGAATGCATACACTGTGACTTCAGGGACACCCAAATCAAGGCACCACTGTAAATATTTGTACTGTTAACCTTTTATTTATTTCAAATGTTTGTAAATACATTTTGCCAACTGACCTTTAATGTTTCTGAAAGTTTATCAAAACCTTTATGATGTCCAACGCTACTTTGAACACTTTTCTTTTTAGCAAATCGACGGTTTCCATCCATAATAAATGCTATGTGTTGTGGAATTCTGCCGCTTTTAACGACTTTAATACAGAACAGTTGAAAAAAAGAAACACAATTTTCTTTAACCCACGACATATTTTCTGATAATTTATAGTGAAAATAAGAATTTAATTAATCGGCGATAAGACTACGGCTGATTAAAACGAACTGAAACTGAGGCGTACTAATAAAACACTGAAGAAAATAATTACAAGTTTCCGTTAATGAATAAGTAGTCTCCAGTTTGACAAGAATCAAGAATCTTTGGCACTCAAAACGTCAATGTCAACTTGACAGCAATCGTAATCAAAATGGCAAAATAAAAATCAGGTAAGCACAAACTACAATGGCTTATAGCCTATCCAGTAAAACAAGAGATCTGTGGAGTGAACGAATAGAAAAACACGAAAAGGATAAGTAATTATACTCAAACAAGTGTATCTGTAAAACGTAGACCGATAATTTCATTATATTTGATGTAAAACGTACATGAGCATACCAAAATGCATAAAATAAAAAACGAATGCAGTTGATGTAGTGGTGAGGAGTCAAGGTAATAATTGAAATACAATTAAAGATAGGTATTATACATAACATATATATAACAGTTTTTAAGTCGGAATAATGCATAAGTCGTTATGTCCAAGCAACGACTTAATCATTTACACAGACCAGAGCATAACAGCTTAACAGGTACAGGATAAGTAGGATCCTGTAAAAATGAAGGCGCTATTTAATTTGATACCGGGTCAGATACTCTCGTCGATCTATGCGAATGCATTCTCTTGTTTTTCGTTCATCTTTTTTCGTTCATTCTTTACAACAGTTTGGATGGTTTGGCAGGTTGGCAGCGGAAAACACGAATAAAGTCACGAAAATTGTCAATGCCAAGTTAGTTTGAAAGTGTCCAATTTGTATAAGATTTCAGTTTTGATATCTTCTGCAGAGTTCACTTCTGCTTAGGTTATTTTCTAATTGGAAACGTTATAAACTTCTGTGGCGATATTAACATGTATAGACTAAAATTAACAGCCCTGGGACATCCAAACCCTAAAAGCTTTAACTGTGAAGGTAAATTATATTTCATAAGTTATCCTGCTTGCCGGTGCAACATAATTATGACGAATCTCCTGTTTTAGACGTCAAAGAATATAGGAGCGTAGTTCTTTGGCTTGAAGACCAAAAAATCAGACATTATAAAATCGAAGATAGAGATGGTCTAAGGAATATCGACTCTGAAAATTGGCAGAATGCGTATGATTTATATCAAAAAGACTTAGTGAGCCCTGTTGCTAATGGGACACCAAATGAACAATTGAATTGGCTTTTATCCTATGCTGTAAGATTGGAATTTGCTGATAATGGTATGTAAACTAAAGCTATTTTTATTTTATTTTTGACTACCAAGTCAGAAGTGGCTATGGTTTATTTTATATACAGTTGATTTGGACGATTTATTAAAACCATTTAATTTTCAAATCTACAAAGAGTGATGAGCTGAGAATCATTTTTCTTATGTGATTGTTGCACAATATTTTGTCAATTATGTATAATTGTATCATCATGGACTTATTGAAATAAAAACTTCAATTTTCACAATGCTGCATACAAATTTTATTATTATTATTTCTGCTGTGTTATGTACATGTTGGATTCATCTATCATTTGAGATATTTTATTTTATCCACCTTGCATAAATCCATCACTTGGACCAATTACTTTTAGGTGAAAACAAACACTATCAATATAATAGAAAATTACAGGTTTCTTTTATTTTTCCAGTTACTAAATATAAGGCAGTAAAAACTGAAGAACCTAAAATGGTAACACCTAATGTTGTATCAATAAACCCTCTTGATAATCTCAATTGTAAGTATTCATTGATACTAATGTTACTATTTCTTACAATGTTACACATTTTAAAGCATAGTAGGTTCATTTTCATCATTCAAGATGTTTTAATTGAAAAACATTTTTCGTCATTACATCATTGAGTTGGAAAAGATTTATAAAATAAAAAATTGAAACTTTTATTATTATCCACAACTTACATATGAAATTAGTTTGTAGTGATAACAATTTTATATTTTTTACAGTTTCTTGTCCAGCATTTGTTACCGGAGTGGAGAGAGTTTGTGCATTGAGCGGCATTGGACCTCATCCTGATCCTAAATTTAGAATTGCAGCTTTAGCTAAAGTATTAAAAACGTCACCCCATCCTGATTATCCTAATACTGAGGTTAGCATTATCAAACAACCAAAAGATGTTCTTGAACTCTTGTTCATTCAGAACCTTAGAGACTTACAGACAAATATAAATGAAGCTCTAGTCGCTGTACAAAGTGTGACCGCAGATCCACGTACTGATACCAAATTAGGTAAAGTTGGTAGATAACCTTACGACCATACATATAAAACCGCAATGTGCATTAAAATCTCAGAAATGTTTACTAAAATAGCAACAATAGCTCGTTTTCATTCTTGTATATGAAATTAAATATATTATGTAACAACTTTTGTTTTATTTTAACACATACATGTCAATAATGGATAAGAATTACCTAAAATTTTATATTATAGTATTTCTTGAAATCAGTGAGGGATGGATAAAAACTGATGATATACAAATATGATGTCATCAAACTTACTTATTGTGAAATATCTGTTTGATAGTAAGGGCCTGTCCCACCAAATTGTGAATTATCAGATACTAATCCAATATGTGAAATATGTGATGGAAATATTGGATTGTTCCCTTATCTGACAGTGGCATCATTTTTAAGTTATCTGAGCCTGTATCAGCCAGTGATGGGACAAGCCTTTAGAAAATGGTCCTAATGTTAGTACAGTGGATCAACTTTTATTACTTCCTTTATGTAGATATGTTAATAAATTTAAATAAAAAATTAAGTAAAAGTACTTATTCTTTATTCAAAACATTTTTAACTAATAAAATTAAATGAACTAGAACAAAGTTCTGTACACATAGCAAATATATCACTAAACTAAAGAATTAGTATGCAAGTATGCATACATTTTACATAATCAATGCATACCTCCTCCTTTCTCTAACATCTGT